CTAAGTAGCCCATCCTCATTGAACAGACCAACTGGGGGTGACTGTAGGCAGATGGGGTGTGGCAGGAGTAGGTGGGTCCCTGGGGGCCTGGGAACCTGCCCGATGACCCCTCTCCTCCCTCCCTCTCTCTGCTTCCTGACCACAATGTCCTGAGCAACTTTCTTCCACCACGACCTCTGGCCATGAGGTTCTGCCCCACCTTGGGTCCAGAGGAAGGGATGCAGCCAACCATGAACTCAAACCTCTGGATCCACGAGCCAGTAGAACCTTTCCCTCTGCTAACTTGCTCTTGTTGGGTATTTTGGTCACAGAGACGAAAAGCTAACACATATGCCACATTTTCTCTTTTATAAACAAAAATTTTGGAACAGACATCTCAACATCTGTGTGTTGCACATCACACAAACGAGGATTGGCCTTTATTTTATTTTCTGTCCTTTCCCCGACACAGCCCCAATGTTGGATATGAGGTGTTCCCCAAAAGCTCCAAAGAGCAAAGAGCTTCCTGCGGGGGTCCCTCCCCACCCACACCTCACACCAGACACTCAGCACCCAGGCTCACCAGCTGCGCTGAGGCCACCGGAACTTGTCCCACACCCCAGTGAGTGACCTCAAACCTCACCAGATCTAACTCCCCAACCACCCAGTTATTCCCCTGGTTCAGTGGAGGAAACCGATGCTTGGAGAACTAAGCACAGCCAGAGAAGGGCAGAGCCAGGACTCCAGGTGAACTTCTGTCCTCACTCTTACCTGCTAGCCAGCCAGAAATGTGGTCAAGCCAGGTGTGCCATCCTGGGTGGATGCTCCAGGCCTGCTGGACCATGGCTGCTCACCCAGCCCTGGGCCTGGGTTTCCCCATCTGTAGGCTGTGGACCACACGGCCACCAGCTTCATGGACCCTAGGCCAGTGTCTCGCCCCTGTGCGTGAGCTACCTTCTCTTAGTCCTGTTTCCAAGGGGAACAGCTGGTTGGCTCAGCCAAGGCCTCCTTGCGAGCCCAGAGTCAGCGGGTCCAGCCTGGCCCAGGCCTCTTGGTGGGTCCACCTCCTGCCCACCCTCAAGTCTTCCCTCCTGTCCTCCCTGGTCACCCACTCCTTCCCTCCTTCCCTCCCTCCTCCCTTTCTTCCTCTTTCTCAGAGAGGATCCCTGCTCCCTAAGACCTACCTCTTGAAAGCTCACCTCAGGGGCTCCCACCTTTGGCAGGTTTGGTGGCCATCACTCCATCCAGTTCCAAAGTGCTTTCCCCAGCACAGCACCGTCCATTCGCAGCGCCCTCTGCCAGCTTCCTGTCCCTGTGGACCAGCTAGCCCTGCATGTGTCCTGTGAAGAAGCCGTGGAGGGCGCCCTTCAGCGTCTGGCCCTCCCACTTCACACATGTCCTGACACCCCTCCACGGCTGAGTCACCCTCGAGGGTGTCACTCATGTTTACCCTCTGCTCTGCCCCAGGGGTCAAGACCCAGTGACCACAGCTGGCCCCTTCCCAGGCATAATTTGAGGCGGTTCACACCCTGGGTCTCATGCTCCAGAAGCAATTCTATGCTCTTTATTGATTTAAAAATTAAAACAGCTCAAGCAATTAGCATTTATGAGGATGAGTCAACAACAAAGCATGTTTAATCCAAAGCCTCGGGCTCTTTGCAAATTTGAAATGGCAGTGATTTAAAGTGCCTTGGGCCCCTGACCCTCCACAGCAGAGCAGAGCAGCTCTCTGACGGTGGTGGAAGGGACAGAGCGAGAGCTCAGAGGAAGAGGAGGGAGGAACCTTTAATGACACCAATGTCTCCCAGGCAATAGTGACGGCTTCAGCACTCTGCGACTGGGTTGATAAGTGCGTGCTAAACTCTGCTGGGGCCGACAGGAGTTGTACCACCCCGTGGTCTCAGGCAGAGTACTGCTTTCTATGAGGATGAACTCCTCCCGGGCCAGAAGGGGCCAGGGATAGGCAGCCAGCAGTACAAGCTTACTTGGGCAGCCATGAGGGACAGGGCAAAGGGAGGTGAGCAGTCCCTGCACAGGATGGCTTCAGTGAGTTTCAGAAAATAATGTAGCTTTATGCACTTAAATAATGTCCTGGTCAGCAATGAATTGCATCAACTGAAAAGTATTTGGGGGTTGCAACCAGCCGCATAGAACCCTGTGTCTACACCAAAGTGTCTGTTTCTCTCTCTCTCTCTCTCTCTCTCTCTCTCCCTCCCTCCCTCCCTCCCTCTCTCTTTAACTCCATCTTCACCAGACCCTGAATCTTGATCTTGGTCTTGAGGTCTCCAGAGCTGTGAGGAACAAGTGTGTGTTGTTTGCAACCCTCCCCATCTGTGGAATTTTGCTGTGATCAAATGGGCTGAATAAGACAGATGTCTAGATCTGACAGCCAGATACCCAGGGATGACAGAGCCCAAGCCCTCATCTGCAAAAGGAGGGAATGGAGATCCAGAGAGAGAGAGAGAGAGAGAGAGGTGGTCGCAGCCACTCAAGTCAGTGTTGTTTGTCACAGAGAAGAATCCAGATTCCCAACTCCCTGTGCTCACCAGGCAATGAACACTCCCTGCTCAGGAAAGTGACTCCCTCGCAAGGGGACCTCCCCACAGCCTACTGGCCTGCCTTGGAGGCATTTCCTTCTGTCCCCTGTTCTTTCCATGGCTGTTAACACCCTGAAATCCATGTGGTCAGGAAGGCTGAGGTCCAGCCCTCCCAGCCTCCATGCAATGCCAGTTTCAGACAGGGATTGTAAAGGTAGGACAGGGTGAGTGTGGACATGTGTGCAAATGAGTGTATGCATGCGGGTGTGAAACCCCAACAGCACTAGGAAACTAATCACAATTAGTAGGCCAGGGAGCCTGCAGCTTTAATGAAGCCATAGCTCTGTGGAGAGAATGTGCAGGTCTATCTCTGAGCACATTACCTGTAATGACCCTGGAAATGGACTCGGGGGCTCCTGCGGTATTCTTAGCATCTGTAAAGCCGTTCTGAAAGCAGCCCAGATTACAGCCCCAGCCTCAGGAATCCTGGGCACCAGGGACAGACCTGGCAGAGGGTTATTAACTGCTAGCTCATGAGAAAGGCTGGGCTCCACTCATAACCCAAGCCTCTGCCCACGGTGCTCCTGCTTACTGCAAAAGGTCACCCGTGTCAATTGCTTCCCTGAAGAAAGAACAGAAAAGCTTTCCGCTGGCGTCTCCTGCTTCAAACTGGAGCAGCACTTCTGGAGAGGGACTTCAGGGAAAACCGACCCGAGGGTAAAAGGTCTCAGCAGATGTCCCAAGGCCAAAGACCCTTTCGTACCCTCATTTGGCCATCAAGAAAAGGCTTACAAAAGGAGGTTTCAGGAGACGGTGCCATCTCAGGCACTTAAATAGCGTGCTAGACACATCACCGTCTGTGAGCAGCCTGCACCCTACAGACGCAAAAAAAACGTGTTTCTCCACTGCTTTGCAAGTCGCAATGCCTGCAGGAGGAGGTAGACTGAGAATTTCGAATGACGTCAACATGAACAGAATCAGCCAAGCCCCCCCTGGCTGTGTCGGAGGGGGCTCCCCAGGGCGGCAGAGGAAGAGGGTCTGGTTTGCTGAAAAGTTTTCACTGAACAAGGAAACCCCTGCTCTGGAGATGGAGGCAGGAGAATCACAAGTTCAAGGACAGCCTGGGCAACTTAGTGAGACACTGACATTGAAACAAAAAAATATAAATAAAAAGGGCAGGGGGTGTAGCTCAGAGGTAGAGCGCCCCTGGTGTCAAGTCCCGGTACTGCACCAAATAAAACCAAGTGTTTAGCTGAGTGGGAGGGTGGCAGCAGCTGCGGTCCCAGCTACCCAGGAGGCTGAAGCAGGGTTGCTGGAGCCCGGGAGTTCAGGGCCAGCCTGGACAATATAACTAGACCCCCTCAAGCAAAAATCAACAAACAAACAAGACATGAAGCCCAGTTCTGGGGCCACTGCTACAGTGCCACCAGCCCAAGCTCCGGGGCCGACTCGGCGGCCCCGCGGGGGGGAATCTCACCACTCTCTCTTTCTGGTAACATGAGTCTGATTTTTTTCAACCCCCTTTTTCCTATGGAAATCTGTCTGGTAGTCTTGTTGGTGAACATGCCGGGTCCTCCTCTGGGTGAGGGGTGGGCCCTGAGCCCAGCAGGGCCAGCCAGAGATACCCTCCCAGAACGAGCCTCAGGCGGGGCCATGCACGGGTGGGTGGTTGAAGGCGTCCTGGCCACCTCGCTGGAGAGACTGCCCGGGGGTGACCTCGTCCCACCTTGGCGAAGTGCTCTTCCACTTTCCCTGTGACTCTGAGCCTCCTGCCACCTGTCCTGTCCTGTGGCTGCACTTCTATGAGGAAGTGACGACACATGGGACCTGACTGCTTTGAGGARCATCTGGGATGAGCCCAGGGGCCAGGTAGAGGTGTGCATGCTCCTGCCCTGCCACCCATCACCCACAGGCCACCCACCTCTAGGCCACGAGCAGGTCCCTGGAACCTCTGCCCTCATACCTGCATCTCAGTTCCTTCCCCAGACCTTTGTGGTCCCCCCTGGGAAGATGTTAGAATTGGGCCATGTAGGTGCCCCAGGATGGTGTCCCATCTCAAGATCCTGAGCCTTATCATACCTGCAAAGTCCCTCTTACCAGGTCAGGTGACATAGTCCAGGCTCTGGAGGTCAGATGGCGGACATCTGCTACAGGGTGGCGAGAGCGCACCAGGCACCCTCCACAGTGTCTGCTGGCCCGATGTACCCAGGGACACGCCTGTGCGCAGGACCACAGCCTGGCTGGTGGAGAATCACCACCTGCTCTGCGGCAGAGAGGAAATGAACCAGTGGTTGTGGGGAGCCAGGAGGAGCAGCCTATGCAGACCACGCATTGGGCGTTCTTGAGAATCCGTCCCAAACTATGGCCTTTACATTTGAAGGAAGTGCCACAGGATGTCTTTAACAGGGGCAGCCTGGTGCTTACCCTGGAAATCCCAGGGACGGAGCGCCCCCCTGACCCCCGCGTGTCTGGTTCTTTCGGCAGGACACTGAAATCCTGAACACAGCCATCCTCACAGGAAAGACAGTGGCAGTGCCCCTCAGGGTGGTCTCCGTGGAGGAGAACAGCGCGGTGACCGACATCTCAGAGTCGGTGGAGTGCAAGTCTGCGGACGAGGGTGTCATCAAAGTAAGTGACTCAGCGTGCAGCCACGGAGCGGTGGGGCTCAGGGGCCTCCGTTCTCTAGGAACCTCTGAGCTTAGGAGTCTGCTGGTCTGTTCGCGCTCAGAACCTGTCCAGCGGGGTCCCTCGTGGTCCTGCTCCATTTTACCATCTGGGTAATCTGTCTTTCTCTTTCTTCTTCCCTTCCTCTCTCTCTCTCTCTCTTTCTTTCCTTCCTTCTTTCTCTATTTATTTAAGTGAACAATAAAAATCCTATCTACCTCCCAGGTACAACATGTTGTGTTGGGAAATGCTCAAGTGCTGTGGAGGAGCTCTTTCCAGCTAATTATCATAGGCATTGACTCACGGATCTTTTTATGGTGAGAACACTTGAAACAACCTCAGAAAACTTTAAAAATCGAGTKCATTGTTATGAACTGTGATCACTGTGTTGTAGAAAGGGCCCTTGACCTCATCCTGAGTTAAATTCATAGAAGCAGAGAATAGAGCGGTGGTTGAGGGAGGCAGGAGGGGACGGCAGGACCAGGGACCAGGGTCAGAGGACAGGATCTCAGTTGGGTGAGTGACAGCTTAGATGGAGACGCCAGCCCGTTCTCCAGAGAGAAGGAATCTATTTTTAGCTTCAAAACCCAGGAGAGAAACAAGACCCAGAAGCAGATCTCATCACAGTTACACCCAGGGTCATCCCTGGCTGCTCGGAAATGATTTTGACAAGGAGCCCGTAGCCAGTGTTTCCAGGAATGTGATCTGTACCTTTAGGGAAATGAGCAGACTCGAGCTGAGAACGTCCCCCTGAGATGAGTGGGGAGGTGACATCCCTGGCCATGGACAAAGCACAGCATGGGGGAGCATTATGAAGGGGGCTGGCCACTCAGGAGTGTCACCCCTGGGGCTTGAAGGCTGTGTCCGGCTGCCATGGGGAGGGCGTTCACATCTAATCAGTGCTTCTCTGCTGCAGGCCCAGGAGGCTTTGGATTTAGGGAGCTCAGTTTGGTTGAGTCTGAAGACTCTGAGGTTTTGCCCAGTGCACGCAAATAAACCTTCCCATCTCCTGGGTCTGAGACAGACACCAGCAGCCTGAGCTCRGTGCCCATAGGGCGATGCAGAGGACCGGTGACCCTGGCACAGGTAGCTGGCTATGCTATAAGAGAGGAGCCCTGGCCTGGGGACCTGAAGCTCATGTGATAGGCAGCCAGTGGACCCCCCAGTCCCTATGCCCAGGCCCTGTCCCCAGTCAGGTGGTGTTAAGCAGTGGGAGCTCTGGGTAGTAACTGGGCTTAGAGAGGTCACTAGAGTAGAGGTCCTGATGGGATTTTTGCCCTTCATGAAGAGGAAGAGAAGCCGGGTGTGGCAACACACGCCTGTAGTCACAGCCACTCAGGATGCTGTAGCAGGAGAATCACAGGTTCAAGGCCAGGCTGGGTATCTTAGCAAGAGCCTGTCTCAAAGCACCTCTGAGTTCAAGCCCCATTACCAAAGAAAAGCAGGGGGTGAGTAAAGAGGAAAACAGAAAAGGAGCTGCGGGGACAGATCAAGAAGGCAGCCATCTGCCAGCCAGGAGGAGCGCAGCCAGAGCCAGCCATGCAGCTCCCTGGTCTGCGGCTCCAGAGCTGTGAGAGACGGCTCGTGCTGTGAGGCTTGCTGAAGGCTCTCCCTGGGCCTTGGTATTTCCAAGGCAGGCAGCCTTGGGCAGTCCTCGTGTTCCTCCCGGCCCTTGGGACAGTCAGAGTCCCAGCATCCAAAGCCGTTTGGAGGGCATATGAGTTCCATCAATCAGGTGAAGAGCCTGGCCCAGCGGCCACACAGCCAAGGACTTACGAACTCTGAGTCAGAAGGTCCTCTGGCTACATGAGGTGGACCCCGGGAGGGAGGCCTGGTGTGCTGTGCGTGGTGATGCTGACATGTCAGAATTGTAGCCACGCATTTCAAAGATGTTGGCAAGTCCTCTGAGTCAGACAGCCATCTCCATGACCCAGTCATGGGACATTCGTGTCACCCGATTGCGGTCAGTTGCTCCTCCCACCCACAGCCCCTGGCAACCACTCCTGTCCCCACGGATCTGTGTTCTGCTCTCCCTGCCTTTGACTTAGCATCGTGGGTTTGTTTGAAGCTGTGCCACAGTCTAACCTGGATAGGCAGTTTGTTCCTCCATTGCTGAAGGACATTCGGTTGTCTGAGTGGACCCCACACTGTCCATCAATGTCCACTTTTGGAGTTTCTAAACAAATGTGAGCATGCGTGTGCGTCCTTACGCAGAGGTGTTTTGGTGTCTCCTGAATGGATTCTGAGGACTGGAACTGCTTGGTCTCATGGTACCTTTCCAGGGTGGCTTCATGGCTTTCCTTTCCTGCCACTCACGACTGAGGGTCCCCACTTCTCGGGAAAATCCAGCAGATCTGGAGACCCACAAACCACATTCCCAGGGGAGAGCACACTGCGGGTGTCCCCTCTGCTCAGGCACCTGCCCGCTCACCAGTCACCACCTTATGGCCTGTCTAGTCCTCCTGGCTCAGAGGAGCTGAGCCTGTCCTCAAGGTGGATGGGACTGTGCCCACATCACGATGTGGAGCCTGGGCCTGCTTACACACCTCTGTTGACACGTATTTGTAATCTCCACGTGGAGATACTACTTTACAGCAGGGAGAACCCACCGAGAGCACTTCCCGTGGGCAGGTCTGTGCACACTCTCAGCACACTTTTCAGGGCCTCAGGTGGTCAGTACTGACCACTTTCCCGGTGTCCCTGTAGGCCTTCCTCATGCTTATGTGATCACACACACACACACACCTGGCTGTGCGTACACTCAGAACACACCTACAGGCTCTTTGTTTTGCAGGGACAGGTGACTTCCTACACTCATTCCTCCTATTCTTCCTTCACCGCATCAGGACTACCCCTGACTGGTGCCTTGGGAAAGCTCAGCCAGGCCAGCAGGCAGTGCACAGTGTCCAGGGTGGGGGCAGGAGGAGCCGCAGCACCCTCAGGAAGTGGGCCATGTCTGTGCTGGTGCTCATGGTAAGGCGAAGGGCGTAGACCCCAGAAGGGTAGCCACTAGCAGAAGCCCCAGGACAGTGGCAGAAGAAGCTTGGGGTGGGTGGCAGAGCTGTCCTTGCCATGTGTGGGCACCACTAGAGCACGTAACTGCACCCACCTCCTGCCCGAGGGTGAGCATCTTTGAAATACAGCTGTGTCGTGCAGTCTGTGACACGGCATAGATTATTGGGTGGTACTTGTCCTGCTTGATGCTCAAATCCCACTCGGTTTGACAGTATGACAGTCAAGAYTTCATAAATCACATGCTAATTCATTCAACGAAGATTGATTGGCCAGAGGTGCCATCCTGGTTTGGGTTGCACAGCAGTAAATAAGCAGGTGAGGAACCTGTCCCTGGGAACCCGGCGTGCTGTGAGGAGGAGGAACAGGCAGGTGGCCAGAGGCAAGAACACCACGAAGCTGGTGGGAACCACAAGGGGTGACCATGATAGAGAGTGGCATGGGACAGCTGCCTGGACAGGGTAGTCTCCCAGGTAGGGACATCAGAGCCACTGAGCCTGCTGTGGACTGTGCCTCCTGCCTGCCAGGGCTCTCTGAACCTCCCCTGTCTCCAGTGAGGCTCCCCTGGGGTACCCTGGTTCACAGTCTGGCTTGTGCTTTCCCCAGGGGCTCCTGTGGTCACTGGGCCACATGTCACTATGCCCCAGGGACAATTAACTGGAGGGAGAGAGATCACTTACTAAATTTCCAGCGCAGCCCAATGGACCTCCAGGGTCCATTCCAGCTAAGGGGTCCCGGCCCAGAGCGGGAGAGAGTGCTCACAGGTGATGAGCTGACYGGCCTGTCCCAGGTCATGGGGAGCAACCCCCTCAGGCACAGCCTTGGCTTTCCCCTGAACTCTGACCCCTAAACTTTGCTCTATGGGACTTACCCTCAATTTTGCAAGCTTGAGAGTGAGTTCTTGGGAATGGCCCCCCATCTCTGGAGAGTCTGTAGGATTCGCATTGCTTTGGGTGGCACCCAGGGCCGAGGGCGGACTTTAGGCAGAGGAGGGACTAGCAGTCCCCATTCCTGCTTCTYGTGGCCCAGGGGCTGAGGAAGAAGCACAGTAGGGCCTCTCTCTGCAAGAGCCGCCTGTTCTCAGGTGAGAAGAGGGAGAGGAGGCGCCTGGGCTGAGGCCAGCGAGCCAGGTACCCAGCACAGCCCGTCTCTGGACCTGATTCTGCTGTGAAGCAAGGGAGCTCCCCCCATGCAGGGTTCTCCCAGCGAGAGTCCCTGGGCCTGGKCCTCAGCGGGCAGCTCCAATGCCTGCTCCCAAGCTGCTCTGCACTAGCCAGCTCTTCTCTGAACCCCAGTTAGTTCTTCCACCTGAGAAGTGGGGGTGCTCATGCCCACCTCCTGAAGTGCTGCGGCCTAGGACACAGTGTCGCTGGTGAAGCTGACATTGCCACAGAGGCAGACCTAGACGGTGGCTCTCCACAGAGTGTCCCTGGGCCACTCGCAATGCCTGGAGGTGGTTGTGGTCACCCTGGGGCGGAGGCTGCTAGCATCCAGTGGTGGCTACTCACTGGCCCACAGTGCCCGCACAACAGAGAGGCACGTGACCCTGCAGAGGCCTAGAGGGCCACCCTCACCCAGCAGACAGCAGGTGCTGTCGGAAATGAGCACCTGTGTGCAGCTTTGGCTGGCGGCCCCCACACGGAGGCCGGGTCTTCTCTGTCACTCACCATCTGAGTGAGTGACAAGGACTTAATAAATGCCATGCACTGTGGGTGTGGCACCCCTGTACCGACTCAGCTCTTCTCAGAGAGCAGAGAGCCCTTCACAGCTCCACGTCCTGGGGCGGGTAGACGTGGGTCTCGGGTCGTCACTGGGTGGCCGTGGGTGTTGGGTTGTCCCTGGAAGGCTAGATTTGTGTCAGCCAGCTCCAGCTGTGATCATGCTGTGTGACAAAGGAACCCAGAAACTCAATGACTTACATCAGCAAGCCGTGGCTTCTCCCCCAGGGCCCG